CTGAGCATAGCTAAAGAGATTGGTGACAGACAGGGAGAAGGAAATACTTATGGAAATTTAGGGATTGCCTATCGCTCATTAGGAGAATATCCCAAGGCGATTGAATATTACGAAAAGACACTGAGCATAGCTAAAGAGATTGGTGACAGACAGGGAGAAGGAAATACTTATGGAAATTTAGGGAATGTCTCTCATTCATTAGGAGAATATCACAAGGCGATTGAATATCTCGAAAAGTTCATGAGCATAGCTAAAGAGATTGGTGACAGACAGGGAGAAGGAGCTGCTTATGGAAGTTTAGGGAATGCCTATTTTTCATTAGGAGAATATCGCAAGGCGATTGAATGTTACGAAAAGAGTCTGAGCATAGCTAAAGAGATTGCTGACAGACAGGGAGAAGAAATTGCTTATGGAAATTTAGGAGCTGTCTATCGTTCATTAGGAGAATATCACAAGGCGATTAAATATCTCAAAAAGAGACTGAGCATTGCTAAAGAGATTGGTGACAGACAGGGACAAGCCGTGTGTCATCATAATATAGGTATGTTATATACGCTTGAAATGTGTTCTTAGTAATTTGTAAGGCCTGACAGAAAATATATTGATACATCTATTGTTTCATTTTTATCACTATCTAAGTCGATAAATTGCGTAAAATTGTTTTGATGACAAGAATTTTGTTATATTGTTATATACGACCTCGTAGGGGAGTGCGATTTGTAATTGCAAGTTTGATTTCAGACCAAAATTGCAAGACACGAAGCTCAATTATCAGTTTATTATATTCATTTTGAAATCCTAATAAAAAAGCCGAATTTAACTGACTTATGGAAGTCTTTTACATCTCATTTACAATTCATAAGCAAGTGACAAGTCATGTCACTTCACTTCGAGGAAAACTGCGAACTTGACAAATTTTAAACTCAGTTTGAGTCCTCTTTCGTCTGTCGTAAAGATGATCTAAGAATTGTTGCAGGATCTCTGAGATGGATATTTTAATGTGTTTATCGACAAATTTGAGAAAGTTGTCATCGGCGAGAAAGACAAACGATGCTATGTGATTTTGAGAATTTCCTCGCCCTCACAATCCTTACGTTGATGCCTTTCTCCTTCAAAGAGCGGTCAAAGACACTTTGTATGTGGTTGGATTGGTATTTTTCGAATTTTTGAGTTCTTACATAGAACTGACAGAAAATGTTGTCAAAGTTGTACGTGCTTGACAATCAAGATGTCGGCTCGTGACGAGGACATTCATCCACATTTTCCAATGTTTTGTTGCTGGTTTTGTTCTTATTAGTGACCTAAAGCCTAGGGATGTCTGCATAATTTATAAGCACTGGAAATCTTCATTCATAGATGGGATTGAATTGTTTAGTCCAGTTGCAAACTGTGGAACAAGAATCATCCCTTGCACTGGTGGACATTTTAGACATTTTTGGACTAAAAATAACACTTTAGTCAGAAATTAAAAGTATCAAATGATGAAAAATCGCACTGAAGTAGTACATTGCCATCTATAAACTGTAAGTAAGAACTGAAATAATCCAATTTGCTTCTATTTGCATTAAAAATTTGCTGCAAAACTTACGTAAAACAAATGTACATTGTGTGTCGTTTTCGCTGTAGTCTGATTGGTTAACTACAAACAACCCTGTTATCTGATTGGTTACTTTCCACTAGTTTCCATTGTGATTGGATGACAAAATGATGTATTGCAGACTCAAAATAGTGCGATTCGGACTCAACATAAATAGTGCAATTCGTGCTAGAATCAATCTACTGAGAGCCAATCGGATTACAGGATTTGCTAGTGAATTCAAAATGAATATATTAAATGTTGTAAATGAATGATCTAATTTATTAATGGTAAAACCATTCAAATATTTGACTGTTGAATTTGTTAAAAATAATAATTTTACGTCAACACAGCATCTTGTACCACCTCGGGGTGAACATCTGCTGATAATCACCGCTAGCAACCAATCACAGCCCGTGAAAATCTGTATTCAATTCTAAAATTAAACTAAATAATGATAAAGATTATTATGATGATAGTGACATAAGAGCAGTATTCTATTGAAGTTGCCAGTATATGGACTTGTACCAGATCAAAGACCTTACAATTACACGAATTCGTATCGGCCACACCAATTTTTCAATTATAGATGCACGATAGAGTCATTTTCATCCGTCTGTGAAATAGGAATTGTACTATTAAATACTATTACCCTCTATTAGCTTTCAATAGTCTAACTTATGACATACGACAAACAAATTAGGCAAAAACGGTTTTGAGTTTGCCTTTTAATAGCCTACTACATCCTTATAGTTACTATTAAACACTGACTAGTAGTATTTTTATAATTTACATTTTGATACTGACTAGTAGTAATTGTTTCACAGACGGATGAAAATGACTCTATAAAAACGATCTGATGCAAACAATGCGCTCAAATATAATATGTAATATTACATACTTCAATCAGAAGTATTACATTTTAGTATCAAAACTACCTATCTGACTAAACTCTTATGTTAAAGTATTAAAGTTAATATGTTAAAGTGAATAAGTCTAATTCTAAAGTAATCATCTTTCTATTTAAGGTGTTGTATATGAGGATGAATCGATTATTAAAGATCTCAGCAAATCAAAAGAACACCTAGAGAAGAGCTTACAATGCTACGAGAAATTGTTTGATGATTTAAAAGATAATGACCAATTTAAGGTTTCAATCGTCGATACATTCATCACAGCCTACAAGACGCTCAGCCAAGTCCACATTAAATCTGGACAAATCGAAGAAGCGCTCATGGTATGTGAACGTGGACGAGCACGTGCTTTGAGAGATCTCTTGTACTTTAAATATAACACAACTGAGAAAACAGAAGCACAAGAACCAGAATTTGCAGATGTCAAAAGAATTTCTTCATATAAAGAAGCCTGCATTCTGTTTTACAATCTTCATCTTAACAAGGTAACTTATGATTGCTGGATCATATCAACCCAAACTCCCTCAACATTCTATTATGATGAAAAGGAAAACATCAAAGCTTTGGCAAAAATTGTGTTGAGTCTGTCTGAAGATGATAAAACAAACTTGAATACGGGATATTTTCAATATCTCGTTGACAACAGTTTTCGCCAGATGAGTCTTCGAGAAGGAATGAAATGCGATGAACAATCGATGAACTTACTAGACCATGAAAACGGGGAGCCTGCAGGCGCTACAAAGTCTTCAAATCTCAGAGAAACTACCCTCACAGTTTTTCGACGGGTTGACAGATGGTGCGCTTCCGCGGACGATGAAGATGATATCGAGCCTCTCGAAGTGCTTTCCCGTAGACTTCTTTCTCCAGTAATTAACCAGCTGACCCACGACGAGGTGATCATCATCCCTGACGGTCCTCTGTTCACGGTGCCATTTGCTGCTCTTCAAGATCCATTGACTGGCAAGTATTTGTCGGAGACTAAGCTCATTCGCTTGGCTCCTTCTCTGACGACGCTGAAAATTCTACAAGAATCCTCAGACGAAAATTACGCTAAGGTAGGCTTTTATCTTTACACGTTTCACTAGAAAAAATTTACATAAAATTTACTTTATGGCGCGCGATTTTTTCCAGTGGTTTAAGCATTGAAAATGCATAAAAATATAATCTATTCGTCGCTATTTCAAAACTGCTGTTATTCTCGTAGCGTGTATTTGTGGTGAGTTATGACAATGTTGAGCGCGCGACAAAGCATTACTGAGTTGCAAAGAATTTTTGGCTTCGAAGTGGTAGCGCCCGCGTTTTCGACAGTCTGCAGTCTCCGTTTCCATATCGACAAGAATCCGAATATGAGGGACTTGCTCGATTTACCAACCTTATCTGTTAACGAAAGGCTCGCAAAATTAAAAGCTATCGAGCAAGCGACCGAAGAAAAGAAAAAACTCCAAAGGAGCGGAATTTCCAGAATTTTCAAACTCGTAGCGCGATCAGACTGGGGAAATGCCGCCATACTTCGTCTAGTAGCGTTACATCTGGACGATATCCAAACGCTGTCTACAGCATCATTAGGGAATGAGCGAGATGAATAGATGTATAGTCAATAGGCGTCTACATCTCTACAGTGGACAGAAGAAAGTCTAGTCAATTAAAACAAAAAATCCTGTAGTTCCTTGCATTCATCGCGTGAATTGATGGTAAGGCTTCCAAAAGGTGTGAGCTGGCGAGGGGATCCTTTTCACGTGCGATCAGTATTCCTACTTTGATTTCCTACTATTTCTTTAGTTTCCGAGCAGTTGTTGAAATGAGATAAGACTGATGATTCGGTGGATTTGAGATGTTCCTTGTTCCTCTCATGTCTGATATATAGTACTACCGATGTATCACTGGAAAAATCGCGCGCTTGAAAGGTTGTAAATTTGATGTAAATATGATGTAAGTGTCCAAAATTCTGTAAATTGAATGGAAATGATTTACATCAAATTTACAGAATTTTGGAAACTTACATCATATTTACATCAAATTTACAACCTTTCAAGCGCGCGATTTTTTTCAGTGTATATATGTGGATCCATACATTGGACATGTCATTTCGTATACCACCCCGCGTTGGAAACATTTCCTTGATTCAGCTACAAGACAGTTGTTGATTTTGCATGTACATATCGTTCAACAGGACGTTTGAGGATTTGTTATTTTAATTGACTAAGTCTTGACTAGTCTTTCTTTTGTCCACCGTAAACGCCTATTGACTATACATCTATTAGTGTTTTTATTGTGACGGCTGACCGCTTCGCTTTAATATTATCTAATGTTTATTTATCTTTATTTTATTTTACAAAATTTACCTCGAAGGCGGGCAGCTACCACAGAGCTGAGCTCCAGTAACGGTCTCCAAAATGACGTCTTGAATTTCTTTTCTTTTTATTTGGCATCGCAATCGTGCAATTCCTTTAACAATTTCTAGAAAAAAATATAATAACATATAAAATATAATAATTGACGTTGATTAAAGCTTTGTTCATTCAAGTCAGGGGCGCTGATCATTGGAAACCCTACAGGGGATTTACCTGGTGCAGAGAAAGAAGCCGTCGAGATTGGTAACCTTCTCGGTGTTCAACCATTGATAGGAAAACAAGCAACAAAAGAAGTCATTTTGGAGAAACTAAAGCGAGACGTGTCCGTGATCCACTTTGCTGCACACGGCAGAGATAAAAATGGCCAGATCTTACTTGCTCCTTCTACTCCTCCGATGAATTCGTGTCCAGCGGATGACAAGGGCAACATCTTGACCGTGAAGGAAGCACAGGAGAGCGGAATTCGTGCTCAACTGGTTGTGCTGAGCTGTTGTCACAGCGGTAAAGGTGACATCAGGTCTGAGGGAGTGGTTGGAATTGCTCGAGCCTTTCTTGCTGCAGGAGCTCGTGCTGTTGTAGCGTCATTATGGGCCATTGACGACAGAGCAACAAAATTCTTCATGCTGAAATTGTATTCGCATCTCAAGAATGGAGAGAGTGCGAGTAAAAGTCTTCAACAAGCAATGAAGGAGATGAGAGAAATAGAGAGATACAAGGAACCAAAATACTGGGCAGCCTTCTTTCTAATTGGAGACGATGTAACCATCACAGTGTAATAGAATTGTTGGTCGAACATTTTTAGAACATTGATAAGTTTAGTTTTGTAGTTTTCATAGATTAATGTGCCTTGACTGACAAAGTGCAAATACTAAAATTAGAGTGACCGCTCTTAAACCGTCCAACTGTACAAACTAAATAGTGCTATTTAGTTGTATTTAGTAAATCGTGCATGTGGTACGAAAATTAAATTGAATTGATACAAATGAAGAATTCAATACCATCTTGTTTCCAGTCCACTTTTAGTACTAATTATATAGCCACATATTAATCCCAAATAGGTAAAAGTTGGATTTTTCGTTAATTTTGGAATTCTGTCCAATTAAGAAATTAATTGGACAGGTTTTCAATTGGGTTTTTGTTAAAAGCTGTGGTTGGCTTTTACCTATTTGGGATCAATATGTGGCTATATAATTAATAGGTAATAAGACTCCATGCTGTCCAATTAAGAAATAATTAGACTCGAAAAATTCCTCTGACTGCCAAATTGGACTCGGCCACGGCAGTCGGCCATGGCAGTCCTCGGAATTTTCCTCGTCCAATTATTTCTTAATTGGACAGCATGGAGTCCTATTACATATAAAAATTAGTACTACTTAGATTTAATTGTACAGTTGCACGGTTTATTTAAGTGCGATCTCTCTAGCATTTTGGCAAATGGTTAGTACTTTTCAATGGTTAGAGATTGTATATCATAAGTGACTCTCAAGTCATCATACAGCTGTCGTGTAATGTATAATGTTATTTCAATTGTCCGTCAGTTTTCAATTTTGTGTAAAGTAACGTTAAAATTTTTTATGACTGGTTGATAGATGGAAATAATTTTTTTCCCTGATATATTTGATAGATGGACACTGTGGAAAAACTCTAAATCAAGACAATTAATACCGGCAGTGAACAATAACCAAATGTTATAAATTCAAAAACATGTCGTTAAACGTTTTAACTTTACATATGCTTACTTTCTGAGAAAATGCATTATATTATTTGAAATTGCTTGATGAAATGTGAACTGTTATATAACAAATGCGCAATAGCCGACTTTATATATTTTGGTTCAGTGACCATGCATAAAAGAATTGCAGACGAGGCTCCGGGGAAATAAAAGAATAAATTAAGATTATCCATTGTTTCCCCGGAGCCTCGTGTGCGTTCTTTTGTACATAGTCATGGAACCAAAATATCTAAAGTTGAATATTGTGGAACTTCAGTTAAGCCTGGTTGACAGGCCTCTCTTTCTTGATTAATAATGTGCACACCTCTGAGCTCAAATGCTGAGCTGGTATATAAACTCTGAAAGTAGATTGTTAGTATTTTTAAAATAATTGGTATATAACAATCGATGTGATTGGCCAAAAAGTGTGCTGTGATGAGAGTAATTAGCATTTTTAATAGGTAAAACAAGCAATTAAACTAATTTGATTATTTCTTGAAGCCGTACAAAATAGATATTTGTGTACTCACTTTATTTTCTGTTTGATTTTCAACTTTTACGTATAACTTTACCGATTAAAAGTGGTGTGGCAAATTCATGGTCGAGGATTATAAGTTAAGAGCGATCCATTAGACTTCTGAAGATTGATAAAAGACTATAATGGAACTTCATTTTCAATAAATCACATAGACTATTTTAAAATAAGAAATAAAGTTAAGCTCAAAATTCAGAATTTTGATCATTTATAATTTTAACTGCCAATTGCACCCAAATGACGAAATAATTAAACCATTATTAAACACCGATTTTCTTTATACTAAATCCTTTAAATTTGATAAGGGTAACGATTTCCCAAATATTAAACAAAGTTGGCGTATGCTGAAGTCGTAGAAACTGTCTACTAGCACATAAACGTAACAAAAGGGGAATCTTGTGTTGCTGGCTGGTTGGATGATGTGGAATATATTATTTTAGAATTGTAATTTGGCTATATTTATAGCCTAAATCGTTCTAAGTGTACAATTAAGAAGTCGAAAATTATTTTCTTAAAAAACGGTTTTCTAAAGAAAACTCCCTATATATATGGCTTGCAGGATTTTATTTTACTCAGAGTCTCTGCAAGCCTTTTTTTCTGTAGAACTTCATATCTTGCAAGAATTTTTTTCACGATTTTGGGGATGCAGGAAATGTTTTTTTTTCCAAAATATTCCTCGCATCTAGCTCTCCCTAACGAAAATCCTGGATCAGCCCGGAAGTAGAATGAATGAGATGTTGAAATTGATTACCTTAACCGCAAGACATTAGAACAAGACGTTACGTCGCTCAAGCGGGAGTCGAGTTCGCCGAGTGGGAAAGCAATGTTGAATTAAAAGAAAGTCCGCAGGAGCAGAAGACGAAAAAGAGTCATTGATGTTTTCAACCCAAACGGACATCGAACAGATGGAAGTCACTTTGGGTTAGCGAAGGCTGCTCAAAAAGGAAATCCATACAGTGATGTTCGTCCAATTCGAAGCTTCAGCTCAATTCCAGCCAAAGACTATGAGAGAATCATGTATCCAGGTGGGAAAATTCATATTCGAGGTATTGTCACTGTAGATGAAGCGTACAACAACTTTGAGAGGTTGAATATTTTTATTGTTCATTTCCATGAGACCTAACATTAGTTTTCTATTACTGCTGATTAATATGCTAATTCCAAGATTTCGTCTTTCTCAATTGTCTGATAACGTTTAATGTATAAAGAAAAAATATCAAAAAATAATAAAAATAATTATTCAATTCGATAATTAACCAAACGGCTCTTGTACTATATTATCATATATGGGTATTTACATTTATACAGCCTTTTGCAAAAATTATGAGAATTGTTGAAATATCTAAATATCATAATATCAAGTGCATGATCCCGCGCGATGCCCTTAGTCCCTTGTCTTTGTTGTTTAGTTTTTTTTTGGCGACGGACTTATTCGTAGTTCTGAACATTTTCTCGATGTCAACAATGAATTATTCTAGCAAACCCGCGTGTTCCGGACAATATATGGATATGGATATTATGATATTTAGATATTTAGACAATTCTCATAATTTTTGCAAAAGGCTGTATCACTTGTTTTATGCAGTATAAAGGTCATGTA